AGTGAGGGAAAATCCCTTTAAGAGCCCAGCCCTTGTATTGGGGCCAAATTATTTTCATGGGTCACCACTGGGACACTTGCCCACAGAATGTAGTAGTTCCCGCTGCAAACGATGCCAAGCAAACGCTTATTGTAGAGAGAGCTTCTGGAACAGATGAACGACACCAGCACACTTTTTCTTGTTCCTTCTGGCTGCTATCCACACCACTCTCCCCACCCCTGCCCCAACCCCAGCTGAATGGACAGGAGGACTCAGCTTTAAAACATCATAAAACAAATTGAAACTTACAGAAAAGAACAATGAGGAGGCTGCTCTTCTAAGAACAATGGTAGTCTTTTTTTTTTTTTTGGAATAGTAAGGGATGAAATAAAATTCAGATCTTATGGCAAGACGAGAAAAATTTAAACATGAAGTTTTTCTTTGCTTGTTTGGGCCTCCTCCATCCCGTTGTGTTTTGTGCCTCCGCACTTACCAGACTCCCTTAGGAGATAACCTTCCTTCTGAATCTTGGAAGGGCCCACTACTCTCTTTGTAATTACAGCTCTGGATTGTGTAAACTGTCAATTAGACATCATTTATTGTATAGCTCCCTGTCTCAAAAACTTACATAACTGTGCTTTGACCTCTGACAGGTGGAACGGTTCTCTTTCTGAGAGGCTGTTGCCAGGTTATAATCCTCAATTTGGCTTGAATAAAAATTTCCATTTCTCTCTTAGATTGACTAATCAATTTCCTTCATCGACATAAGCTTTCTTGAATACTGCCTATTATTTATATTTTTATCTGTATACACAGCTTTCCAGGAAAATATTGATATCATGGTTAAAGTACTGTTACGTTTGTTGCTAGATAAAATCTCTAATATTGAAGACTTGTGCTTTTCTCTCTTCAACATGGGCATAAACTTTATGTGTGATGAGAATATAATGATAAATGTAGCCACATAATATTCTCCTATTTTCATTCTATTGTGTGGAGAGACATGAGAGAGAGAGAGAGAGAGAAACAGAGAGAAAAGGAGAAAGAATCTTCCAAATATTTATTTGAAGTCTTCCCAGTACACTCCCTGACAACTTTCACTCAAATAAAGTATGAAAACACCTTAAAAATGGAAAAAGCTATACAAATTTAAATTATTTTTATTCATCATCCTCTCAGCAGGTACGGCTAGGGGGTCCCTGGAGGAAATGAACCAGATATAGCTTTTTGACGCAAGAGAAGCCATTTCTAGCCTAAGCCATTCTGTGATCTCAGCCTGACCACAGTGCTTGCCCTTCAACAGGTCTCAGTGATAATGATCTTAAGGGAACAAAAGAACAAACTGATATTAGGCAAGAGAAGTAACAGTAACAAAGATGATAAATCAGTTATAAAGACTCCCAGTGCTGTTTCAATGGTAAAGATTAGCCTGAAGCCCTCTGTTGAGCTGTTATGCAGAATTTCCAGTGCTCAACCACCTGATCAACTGGAGCCTAAGGGATGATGATGACCTGTTCTGACCCTCAGAGACTTCCATCAACTAAAGCTTGGACTCTGTCAACCTTTGCCCCGATTCTATGCCGAATTCTCCTCTGCTCAAGCCCCTTCATGAGTTTGCACGTACCCTTAAGCTTAAAACGTCTGCAACTTTGCTGTTTCAGGAGACACTGCTTTGGGAAGGATCCTGGTGTTATCCTTACTTGCTGCAAGTGATAAATCCTTCCTTCTCCAGCTCTTTGGCTTGGTTGTGTCTTTTGCCTCAACCCCTGCCAAGAGGTGAACCCACTTTTTGGGTAACAAGGCTTCTAGATACTACCGCTTATTAAAGAAAAGCTATCCAGTTCTTTCTCATACCAGGATCTTACAAATACCGAAATGTGTTACTTGGTACAGGAAGATCACTGGAAGTTTTAAGGCTTCTGGCTGCTGAGGGAGATGGCTGGCAAGTGTGTGAAACTGCAGTTTATGAGGTCTTTTCTTTGAAGTTTTAGGCTTGGGATTTGAAAAAGTTCAGAGTCAGGAGGGAGCTCTCAATCTGCAAAAGCATCTGAGGGAGATAACACTACCTTCTCTTTGGATGTCACATTAGCATCTAGAAAGAGCTTTCATATCCTACAGTCTCATTTAGTCCTCAGGGCAGGTCTAGGAGGAAGGAGATCGGGAACAAGCTTCATTCATCTTCTCTCCATTTGTTCAGCGCTAAGCAGCCTGAGGGAATATTCATTTATCCATGTTTTGCTCCTGGCCAGGAGAATGTACCCATTTCTTAGCAAATTTGCAACTCAAATAGTCACATGTCAAATTAGGAGCTGGGAAAATGTGAGAGGAAAGCATTTCCCTCAATTGTTACACGGACTGAAACACAAGAGAAGGAGAATTTTGTGATAAAATGTAAGATTTCAGATGTTAATTTGCCCCCTTGTATTCCAATACAGTATTGAGAACATGGAGATTGGGGGAGGAAAGAGTAAAAATTAATTCTAAATACATGTGACTTATTTTATATATAAGATATTATGTGCATCGGAAAATGTCTAGACTTAAATGCCATTCTTACCAGGAAGATAAATTAATTGATTTTGAACGACTTCCACGTAATTTATTTATTATTTTGCAAGCAAACACTATTCTTGGCGTTAAGGACTTACTTGAGAGTAATCCTGCCCACCAGAGCCATTCCTTGAGGTAAGAATGTCCACCTTGTCCTAGGAAAATGATAAAAATAGAAAGTAAGTTCTAAAGTAGAGGAAGAGGGTTTGAGGGATTAATGTCTATGAAAGGTACTGGAATATGGTTCGAAAAAGCAAGATTTAAGGCGTAGTCAGTTTATCTCATCTTTTAATTTATTTACTTGGTCATTTCCAGAGATCTTCTAAAGCTTTCTCTATGTCACCTTTGATTTCTACAGAAAGTAGGTTTTTTTATTTGCAGGAAAATTTTGTTTAGTCATCAGGTTTATTGCTGACTGGAAAAAAAAAAAGCACAACCTAAAAGTTGAGAATTATGTTTTGTTCGGCCGGACTTGCTGAGGGGTTGAGCCTGGGAGATACACTCTCAGGTAGCTCTGAGGGACTTCTCCAATAGGGAAAGGGTGGAGCCGGGATATACAGCAATATTTGTTAGAAAAAAAACCCCACCAAAAATAAATAAACAAAAAAAAAAAAACCAGTCGAAACATCAAAAGATTACTGTTAACTAAAGAAAACATATCAAGTTAATGAATTTAGCACTTCTCTATGTATGGGAATATACAAGAGTCTGGGCTCACTGAACTCACTAAATCATTCCTTTGTACCCTGTTTTCTCCGTCCTGGATCCCCTCAGGGGTGGCTCCAGTGGCTGGTAGCTTGATGGCCACAACATACTTCCTTTACTGATTCAGCAGGTGACATTCTTTGTCCACACTGTATTTAAGCCATTCAGAGGTGTGGACATAGAGTAATGTAAGCCCTAAATACTTTGTTTCAGCCACAGTTAAAATTAAAAGTCAGAAAACCATAAATCATAAATTAGATTGGTAACCTAATGAGGATCTTAAAAGGAAGTAGATGGTTGACATAAGAGCGCTGGAGATTTTGGATTGTCAATCAGAGAACGACGAGGATTAGCCACCTGGATTCTATCTATTCTCTGCTTGGGCACCATGCAATTGACTTTGTGTCTAGTCTACTGAACAGGACAAAAACCTTTCCTAAGATACTCAGAGAGTTATCCTCCCACTACTGTAATTTGCGACCTTAGGTCACTGTTATGTTTGTTCTAAAAAATGTAATGTTCTCACCAATTTTAATATACTTAATCTAGTGAATTTGACCTATCTGACCTGGTTGTAATTAAACTAAACAGGATAGATTAGCTGTAAGGGTTATCTTGCAAGGTAGTTAACTCTTTTCTCTCTCTCTTTCTTTCTCTTCTCTTTTTTTTTTTTATTGAAGTGTAGTTAATTTACAATACTATATTACAAGTGCACAGCAAAGTGATTCATTTATATATATATATATTTTTCAGATTATTTTCCATTATAGGTTATTACAAGATTTACTGAAAATAGTTCCCTGTCCTATACAGTAAACCCTTGTTGATTATCTATTTTAGTGTATTAGTTTGTATCTATTAATCCCATACTCCCAGTTTATCCCTCCCCCACTCCCTTTCCCCTTTGGTAACTATAAGTTTGTTTTCGTCTGAGTCTACTTCTGTTTTGTATATAGATTAATTTGTATTATTTTTTAGATTCCACATAAGTTATATCATATATTTATCTTTCTCTGTATGACTGACTTCACTGAGTATAGTATTCTCTGGGTCCATCTATGTTACTGCAAATGGCAAGATTTCATTCTTTTTTATGGCTGAGTAATATTAGTTATAAACATCCCCCCACATCTTCTTAAGCCAGTCTGTTGATGGACACTAGGGTTGTTTCCATGTCTTAGCTATTGTAAATAGTGCTACTATGAACATTGGGGTGCATGTATCTTTTTGAATTAGAGTTTTTTTTTTCTTTTCCAGATATATGCCCAGGAGTGGGATTGCTGGATCATAAGGTAAGTCTATTTTTAGTTTTCTAAGGAATCTCCATACTGTTTTACATAGTGGCTGCACCGGTTTACATTCCTATCAACAGTTTAGGAGGGTTCCCTTTTCTCCACACCCTCTCCAGCATTTATTATTTTAGACTTTTTGATGATGGCCATTCTGACCAGTGTGAGGTGTTACCTCATGTGGCTTTGATTTGCGTTTCTCTAATAATTAGTGATGTGGAACATCTTTTCATGTGCCTGTTGGCCAACTATGTCTTCTTTGGAGAGATGTCTATTTAGGTTTTTCTTCCTTCCTTCCTTCCTTTCTCTCTTTCTTTTTTGATATTGAGTTGTATGAGCTGTTTGTATATTTTGGATATTAATCCCTTATTGGTTGCATCATTTGCAAATATTTCCTCCCATTCTGTAGGTTGTCTTTTAATTTTGTTAATGGTTCCCTTTGCTGTGCAAAAGCTTTTAAGATGATTAGGTCCCATTTGTTTTGTTTCATTTTTTTGCTTTTATTTCTTATGCCTTGGGAGACCGATCTAAGAAATATTGCTACAATTTTTGTCTGAGAATGTTTTGCCTGTGTTTTCTTCGAGTTTTATGGTGTCATGTCTTATATTTAGGTTTTTAAACCAATCTATTTTTGTGAATGGTGTGAGGGAGTGTTCTAATTTCACTGATTATATGCCACTGTCCAGCTTTCTCAACACCACTTGCTGAAGAGACTCTCTTTTCTCCATTGTATATTCTTACCTCCTTTGTTGTAGATTAATTGATTGTAGGTGTGTGGTTTTACTTCTGGGCTCTCCATTCTGTTCCATTGATCCATATGTCTGTTTTTGTGCCAATACCATACTGTTTTGATTACTGTAGCTTTGTTAACTTCTTTTTTAAAAATTAATTTATTATTATTATTATTATTTTTGTTAACTTCTTAAGATAAATTTCCAGAAGTGGAATTATTAGGTTTTAGGATATTAACATTTTTAAGCCTTCTCAAATTACTCTCAGGAAAATTTGTACCCATTTATACTGTTCGAGCAATGTTTGAGAGCGCTACTTATTTCCCAAAGTCCCCTACCAACATAGGACATTATTTTTTTAAAGAAAAACGAAACCTTATTAAAATAGTAGGCAACAACCCAGGAGCTCATTGTTATATAGTTGGTATTTCTTTGGGTACTAATGAAATTATTTATTTGAGTATATTTATTGGCCATTTACAATTCTTATTCTGTGAGTCCATTGTTTATGTGCTTTGTCTATTTTCTGTTAGGGTGCTAATCTTTTTCTTATTGACTATAGTAACTCTTTACATATTGTGGATCTTAACCACCCTTTGTCATATATTTTGAAACTTTTCCCCTATATGTCATTTCCTTTTTAGTTTTAGTTAAGACTGTTTCCATGTAGGATTTTTTTTTCTTTTTTGGTCAACCCAAGTAACTTCTTCCTTATATAGAATAGATTCTTCCTTTATCTTTATGCTTAGGAAGATTTCAAGTTTTTTAAAAAAGTATTTCATTTGAAATTTAACTTAAACTCTGTTGAATCTATTTTGCCAAGTGGCATAAAGTAGAACTCTTCTTACATTTTTCTCTATTTTTTTTGCCAATGGTCTCAGTACTTTCGATTGAATAATTCATGCTTTTTCCTGTGGATTGAAATGCCGCTTAAAAATCATATATTAAATTCAATTATCTGTTATTATTTTGTCTATATTTTTTAATGCCAGTACCAAACTATTTTACTCAATATAGCATTATAGTATGTTTTATTTTCTGATAGTGCACATCTCCCCTCAATAGTACTCTTAATAAACTTGTTTCCACAATTCATGGTCATTTATTTTCCCCTAAGAACCTTAGCTCTTATATGATATTATTCTTGATAAGGATGAACAGAAAATTCATGGTTAATGGAGGATAGTCAAGCAGAGTTAAACAGCATCTGAAATATCACTATAAATAGTAACCTAATTCTACTGCCATCCATTCATTGATTTGACAATATTTATTGGGTGCCAGCCACTATGCTAGGGAAGGTTCCTGCTCTTATCGAGTCCACTGTCAATAAACAAGTAAGCCTGTTGACAACAAGTAAAGAAACAATAAATGTACAAGGATAAATTATTCCAGGCACAGTGAAGGAAGCTGTTAGTGCAGTGACACAGAAAAGCAGGGGTGGAGTGAGGGAGACCTCCCTGGAGAGGATGGTCAAGGAAGGCCTTGCTGGAATGATGATATTTTAGCTGAAGTGTCAAGAATGAGTTAGCCAAGTGAAAGGCAGGGAAGAGTTCCAGGCAAAGGAAAAGGCCTTGAGGTAGGAAAGAACTTGGTACATTCCAGGAACCAGAGAAAAGCAGGTGACAGGGAGGGCCGCAGAAGATGACGCTGGAGAGGTAACATGGGTCATGTTAGGCAGGAGGTCAGAGACCATGGAAGAAAGTTTGGATTTTACTCTTAGTGCAAAGAAAAGCCACTGACATGTTTTAAGCAGGGGAGGAGCCTGATCTGCCTTTGAAGCCTGAAACTGCAGACTAAAGCTCTGAAAGAAGACCCATCCCTCACTCCGAAGCTCTTGAATTTTATTCTCACCCTAAAGGAGACACAGCTGGCTCCGTCCTGGAACGTGCCAAGAACAGTTGCTAAGAAGAGAGATGGGGCTAAGACAGAGACAGTGAGATAGTTATTCCTGCAGCACTATGGTCTTACAACAGGATTATTTCTGCAGTTAGAAACTTTAATTTGTTATAGTTGTGTCGGTTTCTTACCAGCTCTAGTAATGCCCTTGTTGGCCAGTTGCAAGAGGCCCTTTTTTTTCAAGATGAAACTGGAGCCAATAAAAATACTGGAACTTACTGCCAGTGCCAGGCCCACATAAAGACTGTATTTGTTTTCTGCACTTGCAGAAGTGCTCAAGTTGGTTATGCTGGAATTCATGCCTTTGTAGAGGACGGGAGACGCCAGCAGCTGTGACACACGTGTGATCTCACACCAAGCCTGGGAGGCATTTGGACAGATCAGAGGCAGCACATAGCCTGGAAAAAGGGAAAGAGGGAAATGTCAACAAACGAAAGGGAGGTGCATTCATGTTTACCTTCTACAAGAAAGAGAAACTTGAGTGGTCGGTACTGGCTTGGGCCCAGCAGTTCGTCACAGTGCCTCCACACCCCCGCTGCCCTGCCCCAAGACAGCTGTTCCTCTCCTTCATGCTATCAGTGTGTCACCTGGAAAGCAGAAGCATTCGTGATGCCTGAATGTAGGAGAGGGCACAGCAACCCCGTCAGCCTAGAAATCACTGCGTTACAGGGAACCGAGCTAACCCACTTCGTGAGGGATGAATTGTGCATTTCAGAAAACGTGTTTAAAAGCGAGTTTAGTCTTCTGTACCACTTTCCCTAAAGAGAATGATTTTTCAGGTCTACTAACTCACCTTCTCCTTAATGAAATTGAATCTAATAATGAAATGAATTAAACATCAGTAGGCTCTTTTTTCCTAAGCAGGATTCAAATAAGCCTGTAAATCCAGATCCATTATTAGAAGTGCTTTTTTTTGAGGCTAACACTAAAACACAGAATGAAAACATTTTACACCACGTAAGAAACTTTTCATAATCTGTTCTCCACTAGAAAAACTGCCAACAAGGTGACACTGTGACTAGGTTTTTGGACCATCTTTTCAACTTTTTTCCCCCATTTTATCTACAAAACAGAAATAGACTCACAGACATAGAGAACAAGTCTATGGTTACCAGGCGGTAAAGGGGATGGGAAAGGATAAATTGAGAATTTGAAATTTGCACCTCTTAGGGAGTGATGGAAATGTTAGCTATCTTGATTGCAGTGGTGGTTTCATTGGTGTATACATCTATCGAAATTCATCAAATTGTACATCTGAAATATGTGTAGTTTACTGCACAGGAATCATACCATAAAAAAGGTATTTTAAAAAATTACCTACACAAAAATGGGCAAAGAAAAATTAATCAACCACAATTTTAGAATTCAGTCAAAAAAAAATCAGTTCTATGTCTCAAAAATCTTAAGAAGGCATTTGAACAACAAGACAGCTTGACCAAATGATGTCTTAGGAACAAAAGTTTAAAAATGGGATCTATGCCTCCCTAGCAAAGCATCATGAAGTTATGTGAATTTTACCACGTGCACATTTAAGAAACAACCATCAAGTTCAAGTCAACGGAAAGGTAAAATGATTGAATTCAATCTTTTCATGATTATTATTTATCTCTATAATTTGAAAATGAACCAACTTTGATTCAGAGATACAGGATAAATTCTGAGACAAAACTTCTAAATAGTGCAAGGGGAAATATATTACTTCAGGGATATTCTGTGGTAAACGAGGAATGTTTCGGTAAGAATTGTTTTAGTAAGAATTGCTGCAGATTTTCAAATAGGCTAGTCCTTAGCAATCTTGTCCCGGGTACTGTTCAATTCATCTAAACCCCAAGAGTGCAAAGTAATTTTTGGTAGTAAGAATTTCCGTTACATGAATTCTTGCGAAACCATCTGACCTGACTTTGCAGTAAATTCCGTGGCTGCGTTAGTGTTACTTAGTATGTAGTTAACATAACCATTCCAAAACTTTATCTCTGAAAACGGTGTGGGTGGATCTCATTCCAGTGAAACAATATTCTTTCTGAGCTGTTGACTTAGCAAAATGTTCCCGACATTTTAGGGGGTGTGGGGGCCGAGGGTGACAGGGAAGAGCAAATAATCTTTGTTGCATTTTGTAAGTTCTCATCATTAAGTGGATATTCATGCTTCAAGTTTTATGGCAGGAAAAATAATAAAAATCTTGTCTAGTTACTGACCTTGGAACTTAAATTGTTTTATGTTTTGAGAGCACAGGAAGGAGAGAACCTACAGCAGATATGACTGAAGGACGGGGTGGGGGAGTGACTGGCAGGTTGGTGGGTGCGGGATGGTGCAGGGCAGGAGGGGAGAGATGGGTGAAGTAGAATGTGTGGGCCGGGACTTGGGGGCTGCAGAGGAATTAGAGGAATATCTCAAAATCAGAGTTGGTTTCTTAAGATTCTAGTAAACAAAGTAATTCTTGAGGAGTTTAATCTGAATTTTACTCAACACAGAAAATCTATTACATTCCTTAGTTTTCATTTTAATAGACACTGTCAATAACCCTTTAAAGTGACTGTACCAATTTACACTCCTGTCAGCAGAGAGCATGTACTACTTCTTTGGTGTTATTATATCCTGATCTAAATATTGAATAACAAATATTTAGGAAATATGTGTCAGTTGTAAGGAAAAAAATAATTCAATATACACCAATGTATCAACCACCCAATTAAAAAAATATTTGTTTAGTATTATTTCATTTTGGGGGGAGGTAATTGGGTTTTATTTATTTGCTTGTATTTAATGGAGGTACTTGGGATTGAACCCAGGACCTTGTACTTGCTAGGCACGTGCTCTGCCATTGCTATGCCCTCCCCGCCATCAACCACCCAATTTAAGAAGTAAAACATTACCCTTCGAGGTAACAACTATCTCAATTTTGTCTAATATTCTTTTACTCTAAAAAAATAATTTCCTCTATAAGATTATATATTTAAATAATAAATTGTTTAGTTTGCTTCTTTTTGACCTTATGAAAATGTGATCATATAGTATGTATTCTTCGGTGACTTGCTTGTTTTTGAGATTTATCAGTCTTGATGCATGCGGCTGTAGGGTTTGTTTTTTCCTCCTTGTTCTATAGAATTCCACTGTATGACAATCTCACCATTAATTTTTCTATTTTATATTTGGCAGACATTTGTGTAATTTATAGTGTTTTTGCTCTTACAAACAGTATTGCTAATGTTCTCAATATGTTGAACCATATGAAATTGATGATATTTGACCATTTTTGACCCTACAGAAATAGCAATTTCATATCATTCAATTTAATATGTATCTTCATATACAAGTGTGAACATCTACATACACATACATACACATACATACACACTTTAAAAACAAAGTTGAATTTTCTACAGGGTTATATGCCTTTCCCCACCTTGAACTCTGTACTAAGTATCTATAATCCTGGACAAGGTGAATAATCACTCTTGGCTTCAATTTTTTCATCTCTAAAATGAGGGAGTTTGACTCAATGATTCTAAAGATCCCTTCTGTAATTTTATGGTTTGATCATAAGATATCTTGGTTCCCAGAGTAATTTACTTACAGTCCTGGCTGTTCATAAATGTTGTTGATGGACCAGCTCTAAATTCATAGGTACTTATAGCTGGAAGACATTTTAAAGAAACTGAAGCCAAGATATTAAGTGACCCGCCAAAGTCATGCAACTGCCAAAATTAGGGCCAGTAACCCATTTCTCAGGCTACTATTCTGTTTCAGAAAAGTAAAAACATAAGGTATAAACAAAGCCAGTTAAAATTTTTTATTAATGCTTACACAAAGATGAAATGCTCTGAATAATTTTTCAAGTCCTATTTATATAGAGAGAATAATAATTTAAATTATCCAATTTATTGCATAGAGTAGGATATTTCATTTCTGAGAAATCAGTGATTACATTTTTAATTGCTGTAAGATACTTCCAATTTGAGGAAATCATCATCTCATCATCTATTCTACTTGGTTAGTTTAATTATTATTCTGCAGACATTCTCACTTCCTTACCCTCCTGACCTGGGCAGAATATTCTTCCCCTGATGTCAAGTTGGTGGCCAATGGGACATCAGTAGAAGTGATATAAGGAGAGAGTTTTAAATGTAATTATGTGGTTGGATTTACTCTCTTGCACCTCTGTACTTGTCAGGAATAGAGCAACCCTGAAGAGCTGCTGCCTCTTTAGCTTGATCGCAGAATGAAAACACACAGCAAACCTAAGCTCATCCCACATTAAGGGGCCAAAGCCAGGTGGGTATTTAGCCTGATGCAGTCACCCAGGTGTACCTGGTCTAGATCAGTCAACCATCAGCTGACCTACACATAAATAGGACTATATGACACATAAACAGAAATATGTGACTGTTGTTTTTAGCCACTGGGTTTTGGGTTGTGTGTTATGCAGCAGCAGCTGACTGATACACCTGCCTATTTACATTAGAAAAGGAAAGAATGAATTAAATCCCTATAATTTATTTTCCAAATAGCAGCCAGTGCAAATTGGATTATGTCACTCCTTTGCTTAATTCCCCATCCCCCCTTGATTTTTTTCCACTGGACTTTTAAAAAGCTTTCCATGCTCAAAACTTGCTCACTTCTGACATTACACTGCACTAGTCTCTCTCACTCTCTGAAACATCACTAATTTTTTTTCACTCTTTGATTCAATAAATATTTATTGAGTATCTCCTATCCGTTAGGCATTTTCTGAAGTTAGGGATACAAGAGGTAATAAAATACAATTCCTGCTCTGTTATAGTCATTCTAATAGAAGGAAATAAACAAGTGAACTAATAACTTCACAATATGCTCAGTGCCGTGGAAAGCAGTAAAGAAGCAAAGAGGATTTTTTTTTAAAACAGCATTAAGTGAAAAACCTCTGTTAAGTGTAAATGCAAAAACATGGGAATTTGACATGGGAATTTGCTTGGGGGGGGGTGCAAAGAACTGTACCACCCAGGCTGGCTGGTGAGAGCAGGGAGATTATATGAGATGAGGTCAAAGAGTACCAGGGAGCAGCATCAGACAAAATGACCCTTTAGATCAATGGGCCCAATCTTGTCATTTCTCCTTCCAAAATTTTACAATGGCTTTTCTTCTCATTCAGAAAAAAATCCACAATCCCCATCGCAGACTAGAAGGACCTACAGAATCCTGCCTCCAGCTATCTCTGTAACCTTGCTCCCCACCCCCTTCTTTCATAGGCTAAACTCCATCTCACCTTAAAGCTTTTCAGTTGCCTTTACCTGTTAGTTGGTCCCAGAAGTGGCTGGCAGGGCTAACTCCTTCCCTGAGCTCTCACTTAAAATGCTTTCTCTGCCCTTCCCATCTAAAGGGACTTCTCACTTTCCATCATACAACTCAGTACTGCCAACCAAGCAAACTTGCTCTTACAGCTTAATGAAGCCTTGTAACAATGCTGTATATCCATATATCTATTTCATTTATTCACCCAACAAACCAGTTGTTCCTACCACACAGGGCACCATATTAGGTATTCATTCATTTAACATTTAAATTCTTACTGAGCACTTCCTGTGTGCCCTGCCCCGTTCTGAAACTTGGTGAGATAGTGATCTGCAAGACAAATAAACAGGTCTCTGTTCTCCTGGAGCTGACAGTGCTCATGAGAAAACTAACAATGAAGCAGGAATAAGGGGAGTAGAATAGAAATGAGAAATACTTTAGAGCAAATTTGGAGCAGAGTAAGTATGAGAAATAATTTTGAGCAAATTTGGGACTTGAGTCATAGTAGATATATCTACAGATAAACTCCGATAGTGCTGGGTAAGAAGCCCATTATTTCATTCAACCCAAATAAAACGGAGCAGATACTGTTGATTTTTTAAAAAAGTTAAAAACTTGTATCTCTAAACAAGATCATCCCATGATCAGTGTTGTCTGGAAGCCAAATACTCTATGAGGAGACTGTTGACCATCAGAATCCCCACATAAACTGCTACAATCAATAACATATTTTCTGAACAACCTTTAGTAAAGAATTTTACTTCCTTTAAGCACTGGAATTTCAGCACTTATGAAATCTATGGAAGGCTGGGAAAACTTATGCTTTTAATCTTGTGCAAATCTGGAGAAAATCTTTTTTAGTGGAACACAAAAGAGGCTATATTTTACTTAGAAAATGCAGCTTGTCTTGATGGTAAAAATTATGTGCATTTGGTGGGATTTTGAAAAATGTTTATGATATCGATTTTTTTAAGAGTAAAATCTCAGAATCATTAAAATGTGTATCATTGCATCCAAGAGGCCAGAGAGTGGGGATGGTCACCTACAGGGGAAAAAAAAAATCAAAGGCTCAAATAATACTGTGCTTGGTTTGATTGCTAGTTCTGAAAACTTAATCAGTTCTCTGGGCCTCTAGGACCAGACTGTCTTGTAAATCCCTGTCTACTAGAACCTAGGCCAACGTCTGGCACATGGGACTACTGTCATTTGAATAAATGAACAAGTGAAAAATGGAGGCTTTAGTCCTTGTCAGGCTCTTAACTGTGTGCTTCTTAGGTAAATCCCAGCTGCATCTATTCCTCACAACTCTAAACTATAGGCATTATTCCCAGTTTCTACACGAAGACTTAAGGAGGCTGTCATAGCTGAGAAGACTGGAAGCAAAGCCTAATCTCTTCCCATTACTTACAATGATTCTGATTTCTCTCAAGTCTTTGCCACCAGTCTCCCACTCAATTACCACAGTTAATCCCAGTTATTAAGCATCAAGCTTGAATACTTCGTGTTGAAACTAAACGCATGAGCAAAGCAGGAAAACCATCCTTAAGTTCGGACAAGTGGTGTAATTCACACAGCCTCCTTACTTACAGATCCTTCGGTAAACAAGGGTTGGATGTATCAGTAGTCTGACTTACTGGTTTAGGAATTTTTTAGACAAAGGTCACACAATCTGACTATCTAGGAAATAATTCTAGATCCAGCTGCCTTAGTAACCACTTCCAAAACCACAGCTTTTGAATAGTTTGTGAATTGTTCAGGCATTTTTCTTTCTTTGTGTTCTTTCTTTCTCCTTCTGGCACAGTTTTGACTAGTTCATTGACTTTATTTTTCTTTCCTTTTCTTTTTCTAAAAACTCCCCGCATTAAGCAATAAGCTAGGAGAGCCAAAAGGAGAGAAAACCGGGGAAATTACCAGCAATTTTGGAGAAGTAGAGTTCTTGCCACGCCTCTCACTGCCCCCTCACTGTTTACGTTCCTTACCAGATAAATTAGAAATCGGCTTTCCCCTGGACTCTGAAAACTGAAAACTGTCGTTTCAGTTGATACACTTCAGTTCAGAGCCGTCCGCACTTCCCTCCACCCCCGCCGCGGGACCCCGGTCCCTACTTTCATCTAGACTCACAAGGGCGTTCTGTATTGAGGCTGTGGAAAACCTGCCAGTGTTGTAAACACCTAGCAAGGGCAAGGGGCGGCACCCTGAGATTTTACAGGACTTGGGTGGCGGCGGAAACCACAGACCACAAAGCTGTGAAAAACCTGCCAGTGACTGCGCCCAGTTCCTGGTCTCCTCCTCTGCTCGCCTCCTGACTTACGCTGGCAAGAAGTGGCTGCACAGTCAGACACGAGGCTGCTGGGGTTGGAGACGTTTTCATCTCGAAGGAAGAAAGGAGGTGTGGGTGGCCAAGACTTATCCACGCCTTCCCCTAGGGGTTCAAGGCGCCAGACTCTCCAGTGTGTGACCCTCGCCAAGCCCTGGGCGCAAGACCGACTCCCGCCGGTCCCGGGGCACGCCCTCTGCCCACTGGGTGACGTTGATCACGGACTCTGGAAGTGAGTCTGAGTCAGTAGAAGCGTGTCTTTTCAGCCGAGCCTTGGGAGTTTTCCCACACCTCCCTGAGTACCCCGTCACGATACTCAGCTCTCCGTAATTTACATAGATCTGCCTCCCGGACTAGAGTAGGAGCCGCGTATGTCTAGTTCGACTCAGGCATTCCCACAGAGTCTGGCGTATTGTAGACGCCAATAAGTATCTGTTGCCCAGCTGATTGGCTGAATGACTGAATAAATGCATGAATGAGTGTTTAAGAGTCCGTGTATCCCTTTCTGGTCTCCACTGTCTCATCGCCACCCCGATGCCAGGTCCCCCTGCTCGGGGCAGTCACTCACCTTCTCGACAGGGCTCTCCAGGCGGTAGCCTCACCTGTCCTCCCATGGCCCCTGCGGGCTTCCTGGGCGCAGAAGCTCGTTCCTCACCCACCTGGGCTTCTGCTTCTCCCCATGGACCAGCGTTCGGGCGGAGCCGCTGGGTCTCTGGCTGGTCTGAGCAGACCCGCCCTGGCAGCCTCAGCCAATGGGGGTGGCGGGGTGGGGCCTCCGCGCGAGCCACGCCCCCGAGGTTCGAGGGTTGGGCTCTAATTCTCCCCACCGGGCTGCGGCGGCCGCCCCGGGGCACAGGTGGGACCGGCGGGACTGCCGCAGGAGCCAAGCAGTGCAGAAGCACAGACACGCCTCGCAGGGTGAACGCGCCTCTCGGAGCGTGGAGGCCGCCGGGCCAAATGTCAGGGAATTTGGTGGAGTAAAGTCTGTGCTGAGAGGCCCCCTTCTGGCTCCTCCGGGGTCAAAAAGTCTCCTGCTACTGAATTTTGAGGGCCCTGCTTTGGAAGTTAGCAGCTGTATAGGGAAGTTGTGGCCACTGGGATTCTGCTCAGAATACCATACTAAAGTTTATTCTGGCGGCTTTAGAACAGACTTTGCCGTTTTGTGTTATTATCAACTTCTCCCACAGTCCCTCGGCTTCAAACTTCGGCCCTCCCTCACCCTTTTTACTAAGCCATATAGTTATTTGCAATAAACCCTAAAGGAAAGGCGATGCTCAAACAGAAGAGACTAACTCCTGCAAAATAATACTAGTTAACATTTATGATACTCCTGCTTTACTGTGCCTTATGTAGGCAGGCACTTTATATGCATTAACTCATATCTCATAACATAGTCTATTAACCCCTAGTTTACAGAGGAGGGATCAGAGGAAAAGTGAGATTAAGTAATTTAACCAACTAGTCAATGGAAGGCTTGGTAACATATGCTCCCAAGGTAGTTAAACGACACGAAATGGGCACAATTCCTGTTAAAACCCTCACCACAGGAACGAAGTGCCTCTGTGCCCTGGGACTTCAGCATTGAAGGAAGTCCTCTTGTCTGCTTAGCTTGCCTTTGCTCTGGGTAAGCAAAGCAGTACTATTGACTTTATTACCTAGGAGTTTCACAGCAGAGGCCTCAATCTTGCTTTTCTTGTTCTTAGGCTGAAGAGAGAAGAGTTAAGATCAGTCAGCCAAACAATACAAAGCACACACTTTCACAGTGGTTGGCTTGGTGGAGAAGAAATAGCATGGGGAGGGCAATAGGTGAAATTTGGAAGGGAAGGAGATTTTTCTCAAATTTGGATAACAAGCCTTAAAACTTAGATTTCTATTTAAACGTTTTGTTTGAACAACAGACTTGATGCTGCTTTTATCAAAGATTGGTGATGATAGTAAACAGTGATCCAAAGTATTATTTATTACTTATTTAACTGACATACGTTTAGCATTTATGTAGGCAAACATTATTCTAAACACTTTATAAATGTTTGCCTTTTAAATCAGCAAAATAGATAGATACTATTATTAATCCCCACTTTGCAGATAAGGAAAGGGAGGCATATAGAGATTATGTAATTTGCCTATGCACACAGCTATTAAGTTGTGGAGCTGGTATGCTAACTAAGGAAATCTAGCTTCAGTATACGCTTTTAACTTATTTGCTAAATAAAAAAAACTAAAAATGTACCTCTGAGTTTTTATTTTTGATAAAAACTAATTCTAATTTCTTCTTAAAGTCTATCTTAGGTAGCAGGCACTTTGGTATAATTGTTGTTTTTTAGTTCTGAAAATAAAGGGGAAAACATACAGAAAAAATATTTAAGCCTATTTAATATCACTGTTTTTCCAGTTTAAATGTTGCCTTTGTACTGTATTTTCCTTCACTGCCTTTTTCTAGATAACTTTGGATATTATGCAGTTAGAGCACCATAGACTGTCACAAGTGACATTCATTTTGAGGATTTTTTCTTCCCCCCAAAGCATAGTGTTTATTTAATCAGGAGAAGAACATTCAAAAACCTCAAACCAGCCCATTTTATGACTCTGGGAAAATTCCTTTTCTAGTAATAAATGAGATCCTCTAAAATGTCCGCTCCAGTCTTATTGTTTTTTGTACTAGGTCACCTAGACCCAGTAGTGATGGTCAAAATAATGAACAATCATTAAAACCGAAAGCCTCAAGGGATAAGGCTGCAGGTTCTTTGAGCAGCACAGAGTCCGAGAGGGTACCTATTGTGTAAAGCTTGAATCCCTCATCTGCTAGATTCTGGAGAGATCTGAGATTCCTGGGGCAGGGAATGAAGTGACTAAGGCAGAGGGGATGGTAGTTGTGGAGGGGGCTTCAGACTATTTGCAGAAATGTTATAGTTCTGCCTAGCACTATTCCAAGTCTACTACTGGGAATTTGTGATTCCTTATTTTTTCCTCAGTCACTCTAGATTGGAGGCTATCAATCTTATTAATCTTTCCCAAGAACCAAATTTTACCTTTAGTGATTTTCTTTACTGATTTTTAAATTTTAAAATTTCACTGACTTCTGCCTTTTTTATTATTTCTTTCTTTCTACATTGAGTTTATCTGCTCTACTGGTTTCTAAGGTAGAAACTTAGATTATTGATTTTAAAACTTTATTCCTTCTAATACAAGCATTTAAAGCTAACATTTGCTTCCAAATACTACTTTAGCTGCATCCCACAAGTTTTGATATGTTGATATGTTTTTAATATGTTTGATATATTTTGATATGTTTGATATGTTGTTTTTATTATAATTTAGTTTAAAATATTTTCAAATGTTGCTTGTGATTTTTTTTCCTCTGACCCATGGTTTATTTAGGAATGTGTTACTTGATTTCCGAATATCTGGGGATTTTCCAGACATCCTTCTGTTATTGATATATAATTTAACTCTGTATAATAACAGTCCTTTGAAATGTATTGTGATTTGGTTTATGGCTCAGCATATGATATATCTTGGTAAGTGTTCCAAGTGAAATTGAAAAGAATGTGTGTTCTGCAGTTGTTGGGTAGAGTGTTTTATAAATGTCAATTAGATTAAACTGGCTTCTCAAAATCTAGTTTATTACTGATTTTTAAATTTGTTCCATCAGTTGCTGAGGAAGAAGCATTAAAATCACCTGTAATTGTAATTTTGACTAGAAATTTAGTGCTGTCAGTTTTTGCTTCATGAATTTTTTGAAGCTTTGTCATTAGGTGTATATACAAATAGGATTATTATGTCTTCTTAATAAATTTATATTTTTATCATTATTAAATGTCCCTGGTAATACTTTTTGATTTGAATTTACTTTGATATTAATATAGCTGAACCAGCTGTTTTATTATTAGGGTTTATATGTTATGTCTTTTTCTATCCCTTTACCTCTAACTTACCTTTGTATTTAAAACTTACTTCTTGTAAATGACATATAGTTACATTTTACTTTTCTAACCAAGATGACAATTTTTGCTTTTAAAGAGCCTTTTAAGTCTGCTTATATATTTTATAATTATTTATGTGGTTGGATCAAATATTAAAAAAGTTCCTTTATCATTTCTTATAGTGTAGATTTGCTAGCCATAAGTTCTCTCCATTTTTATTTGCCTGAAAAAAGTCTTTATTTTTGTCTTTGTGTTTTAAAGCTACTTTTTCTTGGTAAAGAAGTATAAGTTGACAGTATTTCTTCTTAAATTTTATTTTATTTTTATTGAAGCATAGTCAGTTTACAATGTTGTGTTAAATTCTAGTGTCCAACATAATGATTTAGTTATACGTATATAGATATATATTCCTTTTCATATTCTTTTTCATTATAGGCTAATGCAAGATATTAGATATAGTTGCCTATGCTATACAGTAGGACCTTGTTGCTTATCTACTTTATATATAGTAGTTGACAGTATTTCTTTTCTTTCAGCACTTTGAAGATACTGTTCCGTTGTTTTCTAGCTTACATTGTTTCTATTAGAAGGCTGTGACTATTTGTTTGGTTTTTTCCCACTGTATGTAATATACCTTTTTTTCCCCTCTGGCTGTTTAAAAAATTTTTTTCCATTTATTTTCAATAATTGGGCTTTTATTTGCCTAGGTATGATTTTCTTTGTGTTTATTCTGTGTGTGGGTTCATTGAGATTCTTGATTATGTAGGCTTACACTTTTCATCAAATTTGGAAAATTGTTGGCCATTAGTTCTTCAAATGTTTGTTTTGGCCATTGGTTCTTCAAATTTTTGTTTTTACCACCTCCCTTCTAGGACACCAGTTTTACGGAGCCACTTAATATAGGCTCTGATGTTTTATCTCTTGCTTCAGTTGGGTCAGCTTCTGTTGCTATGTCTTCAAGTTTACTGAGCCTATCTTCTGTATTGTCTAGTCCATTGAATAGACATCTGGTGAATTTTTCATTTCAGATAGTCTAATTTTAATTTCTTAAATTTCCATTTGTTATTTTTTTCATGTCTTTCATATTTTTTATTCATTCTGTACATTTTGCTTTGAATTCCTGAGCATATTTATAATATATATTTTAAGGTCCTTGTCTGTTAATTCCACCATCTCTGTCATGTCTGCATCTCTGCTAGATCTCCAACTATTGACTGATTTGTTTTTTCTGATTATAGTTCACATTTTCCTGCTTCTTTTCGTGTCTTGTAATTTCTGACTGAGTGCCAAACATTATGAAGTTACATTGTAAAGGTTTTGGATTTTGTTGCCTCCCTAAAAGAGAAAGGGAGATGAGTTACGTGATCATCTGGATCCTTTATAAGCTTGTTTTAAGATTTGCTATGATAGATGAAAATATCCTTTATCCGAGATCTAGTTTAGCCCTACTCCTAAAGTGTGGCTTTTCTGTGTACCCTATTAATGTCTGGGTCTTCTCTGAGATCTCTCCACTCTGACAGGTAGGAACTTGAGTGTCTCCATGGTCTGTGTGAACTTGGGGAATTATTTAACATTTAGTTTCCTGGCAGTTATTCATTGCCTAGCACATGGGGTTTCAGCCGAGGCATATGCAGTATTCCATCAAAGACTTGAAAAGACCCCTCTGCAGATTTTTGGAGCTTTCTCTGTACAGCTTCCTCCTCTCAGATACTCTTCAGCAAATTCTAGTCATTTTGACCTCCAACATCATGTTTCTGGCTCCTCAACTAAGCAAGACTGTTGGACTCTACTTAGTTTACTTT